TGATAACATGGGAAAAGGATAGTCTGCTATGCTTACACCAACTGGTCCTGTTTGGACTAGAGCTCAATGCATGAGATCTATCAATTGTGAATGGACATCAAGGACTTCACAACCCAATTCCCAAGTTTCATTTGATCCTGAATGAAGAGAATTCCACCAAACAAGAGGACAATGATCACTCTCCTCGAAAGAGAGGAAACATTAAAGGAGGACAGATAAAAAACATTAAAAGAGCATCCTAAGCTACTAGACTTCCAATGACTTGGGAAAATATAAAATCATTAATAGCCTCAGCTCAACAGCTGTTGGCTCAAATGGGGTTAAAATGTACTCTGGAAAACTTAGTTACTGCCTTGTTTGCTAACCTCACACAGAACTTTGTAAATGTTTTGATCCTTATGATAATGTTACTCTGCTATTGTACCCCAGTTGTGGGAAACTTAGTTCAGTCAGACTCCTGGACTTCTAGAACCTATTATAATATCTGAGTTTGCTTGGCTGAAATTGTTATATACTTGCCAAAATTGTTACATACCTGTCACGTGGTACCCATTGTTGTCTTAGCAGATTAACTGTGTTCTTACCATCCTCGCAGGATTTAATGGGACACAATCCTGCACAACATATTCATACAAGGTCTATTCCCCTTGATGAAAACTGTGATGATTCAGTACATCTTCTTTCTAAGGTGGAATTTGACACTTAGACATTTTCCTTAATGGGTATCCCTGGACTAGCTGTCAGGGATTACTAAACCACTATGAAGCTGGCCTGTGCTATGGTAAAAAGTATTAATCATACCTCTATGGCCATTAATATGCTTAATGAAGAACAAAAACAGCACTGTCAAGCCATTCTTGAAAATCGGGCTGCTATTGATTATCTATTATTGTTACATCATAAAGGATGTTAGGAGTTTAATAATATGTGTTGCTTCAATTTAAGTGATAACAGTAATTCTATTTCAAGGGACTTAGAAGCCTTAACAATATTATTAATAAAATCCAACAAGATGATGGAAGTTTAGACTTGTTGGAACTTCATGGTTACCCAGTTTCATCTGGGTCAAACAATTATTCGTAGGTGGATGTTTGTTGCTATTGGGATTGTTATGTTGCACTTGCTACTGTCATTGCCTGCTCTATTTTTTGCCCCCACCAGTATTAAGAAGAAAACAGATATTATTCATCCAAGAGACCTTAAAAAACAAAAGAGAGGAGCCATAGGAATTCTGTGTTTGGAATTGGGGTCTACAAACTTCGTGACTGTGAAATGCTTGGTGACTAGGAAGTTTCTGTGCAAAGATACAGAACATCTGACTGCTAGGTAATACCTGGTGACTGGGAAACTCCTATGCAAAAGCACGGGATGCCTGACTGCCACAGCATTGTCTTTTATAAGTTTATGCAGACACTATCTGTTTTCCTTAGCAATGTCCTTGGAGAGAGGGGCTTTGTGTTTGTATTAACCTGGAACTTAGCTCAGTTAGGTAACACTCAGGTTAAAGAAATACTAATTAGAATATAGTCATGGTAACACGAGGTATATGTTCTTTGAGTTAATAAACTCCCAGGCAGGGAGGAGCAGACACTTCAATTCTGCATTTCTTCTTCACCACTTTACATCACTCCTCTCCACTCATCTGTCTGTCTGCTTGTACTTTTGCGTCTGTGTCTGTTCTTCGTGTACCTCCTCCACAGGTATTCCTCCACAGTGATCCTTTACAAATAAATAACCTGATCAATGAGCAAATGATCTCAAACTGACATTTTTCAAAAGGAAAAAATACAAATGGCCAAGAAACATATTTTTAAATGTCCAACACTTTTAGCAATCAGGAAATTCAAATAAAAACTACAATAAGATTTCATCTCACTCCAGTCAGAATGGCAATTATCGAGGATACAAATAACAATGAATGCTAAGTAGGATGTGGGGAAAAGATAAAAGGTATACTCATACATTGTTGGAAAGACTGTACAAATCAGTACAACTAATTTGGAAAGCAGTAGGAAGATTCCTCAAAAGACTAGGAATGGAACCATCATAGGAGCCAACTCTTCCACACCTTGGTATTTACCCAAAAGAATTAAAATCAACATACTATAGTGATAAATGCATACCAAAATTTATAGCAGGACAATTCATGATAGCCAACTTGTGGAACCAGACCAGGTAGTTATCAACAGATGAACAGATAAAGGAAATGTAGTAAATATAAACAATGAAGTTGTACTCAGCCATAAAGAAGAATGAAATCATGATCATTTGCTGGTGAAACAAGCCAAACCTAGAAATTCAAGGATTCAATGTTTTCTCTCATATGTGGAAGCTAAAGAGAGAGAGAAAAAAAGGGATCTTATGAAAATAGAAGCAAGACCAACAGAGTGGAGAAAGGGGATTGAAGGGAAATCAGAAGAGGGAGGAATGAGGAGTTACTGGAGAATGAAATCTACCAAATTGTGCTATGTCCATACCACAATTCACTAATTTAAATAACAACAGTAATAATGACCATAAGAGAGAGGTCAGTAGAGTAGAAAAAGCAGAGGGGGAGAGGAAGGGAGAAAAAGCTAATGTGAAGGTACCAGAGAATGAGACTGATCAAAGTATGTTATGTGCATGTAAGAATATGACATAATGATTCTCATTATTATGTATAATTACAGTGCACCAATAAAAAAAAAGAAACTAAAGGTAACAAGTGCTGGCAAGGATATAGAGAAAAGAAAACCCTTGTACACTGTTGGTAGGAATGTAAATTACTATAGCCATTATGGAAAAATAGAATGGAGGTTCCTCAAAAAAAAAATAAAAATAGAAGTACCACATAATCCAGCAATCCCACTACTCGATATATATCCAAAGGAAATGAAATCAGTCTGTCAAAGAGACATTTATGCTCCCATGTTTTTTGCAGCACTATTCACAATAGCTCCCAAATAGGAAAAAAAAAACCCTTAAGTGATGATCAACTAATGAATGGATTTTTAAAATGTGGTACACATACACAATGGAATAGTATTTGACTATAAAAAGGATGAACTACTGTCATTTGTGGCAACATGGATAGAACTGGAGGTCATGATGCAAAGTGAAATAAGCCAGGCACAAAAAGACAAGCAGAATTTCATACATATGTGGAATCTAAAAAAAAATTATGATATCATAGAAATTGAGAATGAAATGATGATTACCAGAAACATGGGAGAGTGGGGGATGGGGGAGATAGAGAAAAGTTATCAGTGGGTACTACGTCAGATAGGAGTAAGAAGTTCTGGTATACTATATTGTACAATAGGGTGACTATAGATAACAATAATGTGATTATGTCAAAAAGGTAGAAAAAGAACTTTGAATATTTTTACTATAAAGAAATAATAAATGTTTGAGGAGATAGGCATACTTAACCTTATTTAAACATTACAAAATATATTGTTAGTATATAAATTTTATATGATGTATTAAAATATAAATTCAATTTAAATTTTAAAAAAAGGAAAGAAAGAAAGGTTCTATGACTGGAAGATGGGTAAAATTCTGGGATACTCAAAAGGCAGGATTTTGTTTGGTTTTGTTTTGTACTGGAAACAGAACCTGAGAGCACTTTATCACTAAGGTACATCCCTAGTTCTTTTTATTTTCTATTTTGAAAGAGGATCTTTGTACGGGTTCTGTATTTGGGATTGGGGGGTCCCTGATGACTTCATGGCTGTGACATGCTTGGTGCCTGGGAAAGTTTCTGTGTAAAGGCATAGGATGCCCAGTTGCTATGGTAATGCCCTCCATGCTAGAGTCTTACCAGCTTCTACCTTAATCTCAGGCACATAACTCCTGGGAATAAAGGAATTTGCTTGCTTGATAACTACAATGTTTCACCAAGCTCTGGTGCTTCTGGAGCTGCACAAAGTAACTTCAGACAATGGACCTTCTTGAGGCTGCACAAAGCTCCTAACATTGCAATATTGTAACTATGAAATATAACTGCAGAATAAGCAACCTTACTGATACTCTAAACAATAATGTGGTTATGGTACTAGTTACCTATAGTTACAAATACACATGGCGGCTTGGCCAAAGAGCCACTCTGCCACCTTCCCTGCCTCTGTACCTTGTCTGTCTGTCTACTTTTTATTATTATTCTTTACAGATCTTGCTAAATTGCTGACGTTGGCCTCCAACTTGAGTTCTCATGCCCTTCCAAATAGCTGAGTTACAGGCATGAGCCAACGTATCTGGCAGGCAAAAGGCAGCTCTTTAACCACAGTCATTACTACCACAATTTTCCACATACCTACAGACCTTTACTTTGTGTCAATGAACTAGCTGAACTAGCCAGGGTAGCCAAGTTCACACAATTTGTACTATTTAAGAAAGAGATCAATAAACGAGGTTTCCCTTCCAGACTTCGGATTTTCACACTCATACATCGAATATATCTCAAGTCTCCATTTGGATTTTACAAACACCTCAAAACTAGTGTGCCAAAACTAAACCATTGATTTTCCTTCCAAAACCTACATTCCTCAAGAAGTTTGTCTATCTCATTAAAGGACACTGCCATTCGCTGGGTTGAATCCACTATGCCCCATCGTCCTATCTCTAGGACACCTATGAAAACTTACGGAGCCATTTCATAGTGCACAGGACAACTGGGGCATAATGGAAGCTCAAAAGCCAGGGGTGGCAGCGCACTGAGCATATCCCAGGGCTGATCCCTCGACTAGATCAACTAGAAGGCGGGATAAACACAACAGGAGACGCAAAGGTGCTGAGCCTTCACGCCCGCAGGTCTGTGGGGAAAGGCTCCTGCCCTCCTGGGCCGCAGGTGCGGGTGCGAGGAGGAAGCCCCTCCCTCGGGCAATGGGGATGGTGGTGGCCAGGCTCAGCCATCGTGGGCGAACTGTGGCCCAGGGCCTCGGGTTTGGCTGCCGACTGATAACTCCCAATGTAACTTCCTCAGGTAATCTAGTTACTGCTGGGGACGCCAAACTACTCACGGTGCCTTCCAGTCCCAAACGCAAATCTAAGTCTCACGCCTGAGTAGACCAGCGTCTCTCAAGATGGAGGCCTAGCAGCAGCAGGCAGCCTCCAGACGGCCTGCGGGGGGCGTGGCCTGGTGAGGGGGCGTGGCCACGCGGGGCGGGGTTAGGGATGTGGCTTCCTAAAGCATGGTTGTCTAAGTCCTGTGGTTCTGGGAATGGAAGCCAGAGCCTTTGGTTTGCATAAATATAACTTAAGTGCAAGGTTTTGTTCTTGTTACTACTTTAATTCATTCTTGCAGTAACTATTTTTTGTAACCCACTTATTCATAAATTACCTTTTTTAGAAGATTGATGTGATTTATTTATACCTTTATTTTATTTATTTATATGTGGTGCTGAGGATCGAACCTAGCGCCTCACACATGCTAGGCGAGAGCTCTACTACTGAGCCACAGCCTTAGCCCCAAATTACCTTTTTAAAAAAACTATTTTATCTTGGCTTTTTTTTTTTTTAAGCCTGTTTCAAATATTTGAAGGGCCACAAATAGGCCAGTTTTAGATTATGTTTGTTTAATCTTTGACTACTATGTTTCTTTTAACTCTGACCTCATTCCTGAACTGTAGATCACTATATCCGACTTCCGGTTAGTTGTCTCCATCTTCATGTCCAGCTATGGACACCTGGAACTCAATGAACTTTAGCTTAAATTCATTATCTTTCCTTTCAAACCTGTTCTATCTCCTGTGGCTCCAAATCACTAAGTGACAAGGTCGGAAATAAGTGTCATCTTCTTGACCTTTCCCTTTCTGTTGTAATCTCTTCTCTCTCTCTGAGATCCTGACCGAACTTTGCCTATTATAATACTTCCTATCCATTTCTCCTAATCATTCCATCATTCTCTTATTGCATTTCAATGCCCTCTAGGCCCCTAAACATCTCCATGCATACCAGTCAGTTTGGTACTGCTATATTGTGGTAGTTACTCCAGCAAACTTCCAAAGAATCTCACTACTTCCGGTTTACCTCTCCCAAACTTTTGAAAGAGCCACTGTCGTCTTTTAAAAATGCAGATCTGACTGTGCTTAAACTCCATACCACAGTTTAAAAAGTTTTTAAAATGTTTAAGCTTCTTGCCGCCCCCTCCCACTAATACTAAAACTCCAGCAAAACCAAACCTCTTGTACTACTTTCCCTACGCTATATACATCTTTATTCATGCTGTGACTGGCAGACTTACCCACTTCCCACTCACAATTTTTACCTGGCTAACTGGTTGTGAGTGAGCTATGCCATTAACATAGACCAAACACGCTGGTGTCTTCTCACAATGTTAGAATTTATTTAATAATAATAAATTCACAAGCTATACATCTTTTAGAGACTGCAGTTCACCAAATACTTGTGAGTCCGCAGATAGTCATTGAAAGGAAAGTGACCACAACACTCAGAGCGACCAAGAGATCTTTATTGCAGTAGTGCAACAGAGGAGAAAGAGAGAGGCAGAGAGAGAGAGAGAGAGAGAGGAAAAAGAGAGCAAGAGAAAGCAAAAGCAAGAGAAGAGAGATCAAGAGAAGAAAGAGAGCAAGAGCAAGAGCAAGAGGGGCCTGCCAGGAGGGAGGTTTTTTTAGCCCAAATCTAATGGAGTCTCTGGGTCTGCAAGCTGCCTTGTTGGTGTACAGTGATTTGATTTTACAGTAGTTTCTAAGGGTGTCATCTTCTGTCTTCAGGCAGATGAGGCAGGGGTCAGATGTGGGTTTCTGTTGCACCAGACCAATAGGGTTTGAGTGTTCAGCCTTGAGTGGGGTTGAGTGTTCAGACTTGATACAAACAGGTGATAAAGGACTAGACAGAGGGGGTTTGAGTGCATGGGTTACCCTGCAGCCAACATTTGTTCAACCTACCCTGCAGACAACTTAGTTCAGCCTGTCCTGCACCTAACAGTCATAAGCTGGGCAATTACAAGTTCTTTTATTCCATCCAATTTAAACTACTAATGTCTATAACACTCAAGTCACATATCACACCTTCACAATTATATATATGATACATATTTTTATATAAATATAAACATGTATATAATATAAATACACACATAAACATAAACCTTTTATATTAAAATATGTATATGTGTGTGAGAGAGAGAGAGAAAAGTTAAGAAAGGGTTTTAGGAGGCTGAATTGAGAGAGCAAAGAAAGAACAGAAATGAATGCAGAGTCGCTATAGGTGGTCAGAAAAGAATATGAACCAGCTAAAGAACTTGTTCAGGGCACAGAGCTGTCAAAAGAGTGGAACTTATTCTAGGCCAGTGTCCAGATGGACAGCAGTTTCAGAGTGTCAGCTTGAGATATCACCTTGGAGCAAGCCATGCATCCTCATCACAGGCAGGAGAAACAATGCTGAGCTGAAGCCCAGGGACAGAAATGAAGGTTCATTGTTATGGAGATTTCCTGGGCAAGTTTCATGAGGAGTAACCAAAAGAAAGGATCAGTGTGCCACCAAGTCTGATCCCAAGGTATTCCTCCTTTTATGGATCTTATGTGAGGGTTTGCTTCCTTTGGTGATCTTGGTGTGTTTGATAAACTCACGGGCTTGGTGTTTCTGATATGGGATTGATGCACCATGCATCTGTGTCTTTCTGATTAATTTAGTACATTCACAGGTACCACAATTAATTTGTCAGTCTCTGCTTCATGGTTGTACTAGGCAGATGGTGGTTGTTTACTTGTGCAAATAAGGTGTGGAGTCACTGTATCCCAGCACTTATATACAAAATGGAGTAACTGATGGCAAACTGCTTTATAAAATGGAATAACTAGAAGCAGGTCATAGCCTGCTCTCCCCAAACTCTTTTATTGGTTTGAGAGCTCAAGAAGCCTTTGGGCATCCCTGTTCCTCACCAGCAGACTCAGTTGTATATCTCCTGCTGTGTTTCCCATATTTCCCTCCAAATAAACCTCCTATTACTGTAATAGCCACATTGATGACAATTACCTATTTTGTCTTGCTGAGGTTTTATAATCTATTTGCTGCTGGCCAGACCACATCTAACTCATCTCTTTATTACTGATGCTTAGTAAAATACTTGACATATATCAGTTAATTGATTGGTTAAATAAGTGCCCAGAAGCTACAAACCCATCAATCCTTAACTTGAATAAGGTGGTTGGGCTGCATCTTTTCTGACCTCGCAGAATTCTCTGGAGTGTGCTTTCCAGTAACCAGCTGGGAAGATGTGACACTGTACAAAGAGAAAATGGATGACTTGGGTGGGATGATGAGAGTTTAGAGGGAGAAAAACAGATTGAGCCTTGAGGTATTTACCCTCTTCTTCCTAACTCCCATCTGGAATTCTTGCTTTCCCCTTCACACAGCAGTTGGAAGCCCGTGAAATTAGGCAGCAATCTCAGGGTTACATAATCTTTTGTTATGTGTAGATTTTCTAAAATTCCAATTCTATTATTATTATTATTATTATTTTATACTGGGACTTGAACCCCATGTTGCTCTACCACTGAGCTATACCCCCAGTTCTTTTGTTTTTCTTTTGAAACAGAGTTTCTCTACATTGCCCAGGCTCTAGATTTTGCAATTCTTCTCTCTTAGTCTCCTGAGCCACTGGAATTACAGGTGTGTGACAGAGCACCTGGCTGTGACTACTTCTTGAGAGACATTTTCCCTCATATTTTATCAACAGTGAATAAAATAAACTGAAATGGTTGTTCCCAGGTTTGAGCAACACAGGTCTGGTCCTATTACTCCTGGTTTTAAAGGTTCACCAACAAGCAAAACAAACCCAAAGCATGTGAACAGAATAGTAAAAAGATCTTACTAAATAAGTTTAATTATAACATTCTTATTTCAATGAATATAAGTATTTAATAAATTTCTGTGGGAGGATTAAAATTTGATGGTTAAAAATCAATAATGAGGGCTGGGGTTGTGGCTCAGTGATAGAGCACTTGCTTAGCATGTGTGAGGCACTGGGTTCGAGTCTCAGCACCACATATAAGTAAATAAAGGTCCATCAACAACTAATAAAATATTTTTTTAAAAATCAGTAATGAAAATAGAGTTGGGGACTTTATGTGGTTTCATACCACAGATTCCTATTGATAACTGGGAGGGATTTTTCCCCCTTGAAAGAATTGACTCAATTTATAGATTTTTCATTTATCTAATTTAACTGCCCTTTTGCAGTGAATATTCAAAGTCTGGTTGGCCCTGTCTAATCCTAGGCGAGAGAGAGAGAGAGAGAGAGAGAGAGAGAGAAATTAATTCAAATAAAATTGTGTTACAGAAAACTTAAAAAACTTTTGAAGCTACAAACTGAACGTTTAGGAGTCATTTCTTTAAAAGCCCACCATTCTTCTGTAGAATAGATCCTCTACTTAGTCAAATAGTTTCCACAAGAGGCAAACAAACTTCAGATAAAGTTTTTTATTTTTTCCTAGTGATTGTTGTTGCACTATTATCTTATTGATAATTCTTTTCTTATACATTTATTTAGTTGTAGATGGACACAATACCTTTATTTATTTGTTTGTTTGTTTGCTTATTTATTTATTTTTATGTGGTGCCAAGGATCAAACCTAGCGTCTCATGCATGTGAGGCAAGCACTCCAGCACTGAGCTACAATCCCAGCCCCTTATGGATAATTCTACAAACAACACAAAAGAGTTTGCAATCTCTAAGGCTTGTTTCAAATATTTAACACACACATATTCACAGAAACACACAGCCATTGTTATTTAAACATTTAGAGTGGCACAAGTTCACCTAGGCCTTTGTGAATAGGCCTTTGTGTACAGGTGTCTCAGCAAAATATTTCAGTAATGTCATGAAACATAACCAATTCCTAACTTCCTTGAAGCCTGAAGTCAAGAAAATAGCTATCCCTACCATTTGTACCTTTCTTGTTACCATAAGAGCAATCTAATTACTCACTGCTTAGACTAAAGAATGAATATAGGGGCTGGGGTTGTGGCTAAGCAGTAGAGTGTTCGCCTACCTCATGCGAGGCCCTGGGTTCAATCCTCAGCACCACATATAAATAAATAAATAAATAAATAAAGGTATTGTGTCCAACTGCAACTAAAAAATAAAAATAAACAAATAAAT